TTCTGTAATGGAATACATTTTAAAAGTAACCTTCCCAACACTGCATGTCAGTGTGTTTAGTTTTGTTTCCTGTCTTGTCATGTCCGATTACTCCCAGCTGTGTCCTCCTTCTGTGTCTCATTCTCTTGTTATCCTTGTGTCTGCCTCTGTTAGTTGCTGGTTCGTCTGTGTAAAAGCCATCCGTCATTCTGTGCATTTCCCTGCGTTGCTGTTTCTGTTAGTTTTTACCAGTTTAGGTTATTCTTAGGTTTTGTTTCATGCCTGTTACATTCCTGTTTGTTTTACCTACCATGTCAATAAAGCTCGCTCACATCAGAAGCTGCCTGCATCTGGGGTCCTACTTTCAACCTCACCTCACTGCAGACGTGACAATCATAGTCCTACTAGTGTAAAAAGTTTAAAGATTCAGTTACACCATTTCATGTGTTGCTTGCTTTTTTTTTTTTTTTTAAATAAAAACAGGACAGTAAAATAAAGGAACACAGTTTACTGTCTTGGTAAAAGCATTTCCTGGCTCCTCACTTTGCATATCTTGATTTGCACTTCTCTTTGAGAATGCATCTGACAGCCAATAAGCAGCCTAAACTCAACCGAATGCCCTGTGTGGAATTACGGGAATGGAAAAACAGGTCTGACAACAAATGTTTGTGAGCTGGAAAGTCAACGGCTGCAATCTGAATGTAGCGAGCAAGAGGAAGCTCTTTTGTCAAAGCAACCAACCATGACTTTTCATACTTGGCAGTTAGTGCGTTGCTGCACGGTGTCTTCATGAGTAACACTGTCACGTAAAAAGAATTTCAGGCTCGATACTGATACTCAAGAAAATACACAACATGAGGACAAAATGACAGAATGAAAGGACACAGTTCTTATTTTATGTTTTAAATAAATGTTCAAACACTTCTGACTCTTTGACTCCTTATCAAACAGAGCTGGTATGTTAGGCTGTCACAGTTTCTGGTTGCTGGTACTTACTTTACTTCCTTTTGCTTCAATATAGGAAAAAAAACTTTATAATTATGCTTTGCTATTAAATTAACACTATTTATCTATCAAAACTGAACAGACCACAGGAGTGAAACTAAAAAAACCCAGAAGAAACAGGAGGGTTATTGTTGACTGGCACAGATGAGATGGAGAACAGGATTGGCAGTCCTGACTGATGACAATGCCCCACAGTCAAACGATAACCTTTTATTATTTGCCATCACTTCTACACACTACCTTAACGATAACCTAATAGATAGCTAATGCGGCTAACTGCTAATAGCTAAAGTAGTTAAAGCTAATGCTAATGTTTAATACTTCAGCTTAAAAATGCTGACCTGACAAAATTCCTCAGAAACACCGGGTTGTCAGCTTCACCAAGTTGGTTGTGTTGCTATTATTTTTTTAATTTTAGTACCATGTAGTATTCACGATTTGGATTGTTTTCCCTTCTCAACAACCCTACTAGCATTTTCACAATTTTGGCATTGAAGGGTACCATTAAGTTTTAGTTTCATGGAAATCCCAACCCAGCCTTTAATGGCACTCAGCTGGTTTGGATGTAAGAATAAAACATTAAATTGAACAAAAGAGAAATCCACAAAGTACATGAAGTATAAAACACAAGGCAGAGCTGAATATCTCACAATTTTCTGGATGTTGTCAGCCATGTTCTTCATATCCCTTGAGTTTTCATCCAAAGGCAGAAACATCCGAAACTTGTTCTCCATTATACCTTCAATCTGCAAACAAAATCGTCACCAATATTAGATATCACTTTTTGAAAATAACGTTGTTCTACCATTTTTTTTAGCCAGTGATTATTTATCTTGGTGATTATTTTGATACATAAAGTGACTAAAAGGGTTTCCAGCAGAGATATTTGTGCAAAAAGAATTGAAGTAATAACTGAAATATTTTAATATTACAGTTTAGACCTTATTAAATTCTTTAAGGAACAGTTTAAATAAGATGAAAACCCTCCAAAGCTTGAGAGGATTAAACTGATGAAACTCAGCTTTACGTCACTTTTAGGCCTCATTTATAGTAATTTCACTAAAAACTATGTCGACATTTGGATTATTAAACGATGTTATTTGTCACTGCTGTTGTAACGCTGTAGTTTGCAAGTACTTTTCCTTGAAAAACAAAGCTAAACACTCTGTAGAGCTGATGTGGCAACCAGATGCGGTTGCAGGCTGGGAAAATGTGGTTATTTCAACTTTTTCAGAGGAAGCTGAAATTCCACTATGTCTTTAGCCACAGTGAACTCTTACACTTTCAACTGATGAAGTTGTTAGTTAGGTTATCATCTACAGTATTTTACTGAAGTTAAACACTGTCATTAAATATATGTTTATTTTAACAACCTTCCACCTTAGCTACATATACCAGGTACAATAAAACCATGTACAATAAAAATGAAAACCGAATACCTGATTAAACTTCTCTGCTGCTGTCAGCTCATGTAAACCTCTTTACATGTACCAGAAACTGGTGAATCTCTTTAGGGCTGGGGGCAAGCTTAGTGTTCAGTTCTATCAACCCCTTTGCATCAAATTTTTATCTATTTGGCACAACATATGGGGAATTTCTGCATGGAAAGCACTCTGAAAATGCTCTACTTTCTGAAACTACGCAACACAACAACTGCCAATAAATGAATTATTGGAAATTTGATGGCTTTTAATTGTGTTTACTGGTGAATTTAGCTTCATCATGTTCGCAGCATGAATAAAGGAGTGCCTGTATTTACATTTCCTATCATTAGACTCCAAAGCAGTAACAGGTGGGCCTTTACCTGTGGACGCATGATGGCAACCGGGACTGCATATTTGAACATCACCAGACATCCAAGGACCATACACACCAGGAACTGTGGGGAAGAACATGAAAACACTTAATCTGATGTATTTGGGGATTACTGACATTTCTCAACCTTGACCAGTTTCACTGTGAGGAAGAAGAAAAAAGATCATTTGACTCTCCAGGTTAAATCATAGAATATTTCTAAGATGGTTAATTTTGTAACATGTAAAAAGGAAGTAATTTTTATTCTTTCATAACTGTGCATGTGATCTACTTCAAGCTTTTCAACTGTTCTCATTTTACCTAAAAGCAGTTTTGCACTTTAACAGCAGTGCCTCCAGAACATGCTTTCAGCTCCAGTGTGCTCTGCACAGCAAGTCTATACTCACAGGGGGACACTTTCTGAAACAGTGATCTGTGTGTGTTAGTTACTCCTTGGGGTCATATTGGATACAAACAGCAGTCTTTGGGGCTTAAAAATTAAGGGCTGAAGTATCAAAAGTTACAGTACTTCCGATGCCCACCTAAGGCTCCAGCAGTAAGTCGACATTTGGAGTTTTTATTTTGAAGTTAGAGTATCCCAGAAGATCAGGTAATCTTTGTACTCACCACAATCAGGGCAACTCTGCTCTCTTTGTGGGCTCCATAGGCTCCCAGGATAGCCAGCACCATGATGATGGCGCCCATGATATAGAGGCTGAACAGGCCACTGACCCGACCCTCCAGCTACGGCCAAAAGCAGTAAATAAAAGTCAGATACGGCTTCAGAGTCACACCCATGAGTTAAACCTGTGTTTCAACAGCTTTGTTCTCACATTTCCTCCTTCTTGAATGCTGGTGGAGAACTGAGCCAGCAGAGCGAGGCTGATGATGACGCCGCCAACAATCTAAATACAAAATAAAACTGATTGGTTAGAACTTTATGGACCACGACAACCGAAACAGCTGTGAACCAAAACTTTAGACAATAAAACTGCAGTTAGAACAGCAGTTCAGCAGTTTAGTTTTTCAAAAGTCTAAGTACAGCATTAAATTATTGATTATTTGATGAATAAAAAGACACCGATTCATTATTTTTGATTTATTTATGAATCACTGTTGTGCTGAGGTTCAGGTTCAGCCTCGGGCTTGGGTTCATTCTTTGTGCAGGTATGAACAGATATGTACAATCTGTTTGGATCAAGTCATCCAGTGCATTCCACAGATGTGTTGTAATACAGCGACATGAACAAAAAGATAAAAACCAAAGAATTCACAAAGCTTAAAAACCGCCCAGAAAAACGGGAAACTAGGTCATAGCTTAGAATTACTCGAATATGAGCAGCTATTTTGAAATACAGGTAACCACAGCCTTGCTAACGATCAGCTGGCCTACTTCCAAACAAATAAAGACTAAAGTAACAGAACTAAACAGAACTGAAACCAGTAAAACAAAGTCCACCAACCACCAACCCCAAGTGAAACAGTGACACCTTCGAAGCTTATGTCTTCTATGTTGTGAGATGTGACGGTGTTGTGCCAAAAAGTGATTGTCTGCCAAAAACTGATTTCTGGCATTTGCCAAAAACTGATTGGTTGTATTTAAACTGCTATAAATAACTTTTTGATCTACAATATGTGAAACATATGTCAAATATATCCCTCATGAATTATATCAAGTCATCTTGACCAACAAACAACATTCCTGTAACAAGGTAGAAGCACAATCACTTTTTGGCAGTGACTTTTATGTATCCTTTATTTATGCAGTTTAAAAAAAACTTTTTTGCTTTAAAAATGTCTCTTTTAAGAGTATTCTGGCCAAGAGGACAGCTGAAATGGCAACAAATGCAAAAATAGTTCTGTAAACATATTTTACGTGGACAAAAGGAAGCTGATTGATTATAATTAAGTACAATAACACAGCTACAAAGATAATTGAGAAACAGGTAATTTTCAAAAATTGTGTATTTAACCCCTTTGCAATACCTGTTCACCGAAGTCTATTTAGCAACATACGTAACGATGTTACACATAAAAAACACACGGAAACGTTTTTGGCACAACAACCCGGCACTGCGCACTTTAAATTACTGCTGGGACCAAACACGTTTTAGCTGCTGTTTGAAAATGAAGCTCAACTCACCGCGAAGAAGATGTTGAAGATGATGAAGGTGCGTTTAAGGCAGGTGTTGATCTGAGCCATATTTGCAGCTTGAGAGGGAAGAATACTTTTGAAGAAAACAGTTCTGTTTGTGGAGTCCACAGGAGCACCGACTGCTGCGGAGGAAGTGAGAGGAGATGGGCGGGTTGAGTTGCTTTTAAACGCCCCCAGACGACAGCGGGCGGGAGTTCCAGTAAACCACGTAGCAGCAAGATGATACTTAACAGGAGGAGTCCGGGGCATTCCGGTGTTTGCCAAGACGGATCGGATTTAAACTGCTGTAAAGATTTGATAAGAATCGAAGAACAAATATATCCCTCATAAATGATAGCAAGTTATATTGGGCCACAGAGCCAGCAGAGCTGTGTTGATCTGGGACTGTAGACATTAAAAAAGTCCCCATAGGAGAGATGGTAGCTCATGAGATGATACTAAAATGCAAAGATTGGTGACAGCGCTTGGAACCATAAGGCAACAGGTTAAAAAGAACTGTGAGAAATAAACTAGGCTCTGCCTGGGAATCACATTTTGCCTCTCTTCCTTCTTCCATCTCCTCATCTCATCTATCACTCTCCACTTGCTGTTCACCTGAGAGCAAGGCACAATTTGCTATTGCATTAATCTATTATTTAATTATCCACACTTAACAACTCTTGCACCTAATCCTTAATAAAGTAATGATAGAAAATGGGGGACACTAGCATAGGGCTCCAAATCTGGGACTCTCCACCATTTGCTCTTGGAACTGAAGAAGCTTCTCGGATGAGAGTCGAAACGTCTTCAAGAAAACTAACGAAGTCCAGATGCTTTCTAAGCTCATTAGACGATAGAAAATGTTAGAATGAAAAGATTGCATTTTTTAAATCAAAATTTGCCTCAAGAAAAGGGCACTTGGGGCACCCATCAGGAAAGGGGCAGGCGCTCAAGCCCCTTCCGCCTAGGGTTGCCAACCGTCCCTTAAAAAACGGAATCGTCCCGTATTTAGAAACAAAAGTACACGTCCCTTATTGAGCTAATAAGGGACGCACTTTGTCCCGTAATACAGTGAGAATCAAAAGTAGTCTATAAATGTTAATGGAATTAACGCTTTGTTTGAAAACATAATTCCCAGCCCCTCTCCTGCTTTGTGACCAATGAGCTGACAGCACACTTATGACAATTCGAGTATGACAATTCAGATTACCGCTCATCTCATTGGTTGAGGAAAGGTCGCTTACGGAGAAAATACCGGAAGACAACAGATGACCACAACAAGAAGCATGGCCAACAGGGTAACAAACGGCGACACTGCAAGTCTCGGACGACAGTACACCTAAAGCTGGGCAAACACTGTGCGATTTTTTTCAGTCACGTTATTCAGCTCCTGCTCAAACTGCACGATTGACTTGCAGGGGTTAGAAGCTCGTAGGTCACGATGCTCTGATGCGACCTGAGAGCTCACCCTGTGCGTCCATAAAATGAAGGTTATAGCAGAAAATCTGTCGCTCGCTCGCTCTCTCTGTCTTTCACTCACACAGACACACCACCACCATCAACTTTTCTAAATTGCTAATAAAAAACACTGATCAGGCAGCTGTGATTGAGCAGCAATGCAAATTCAACTATTTTCACGGTTCTTGTGGTCGTGATGATTTTGTGATGCCACATCGAAAAGGCTCAGATGAGCTTTCCAAAAATGATCATTTGTTTCACACGTGTTCATATCACAAAGAATATGCATCTACTTAAATCAACTTCAAGTCACATGGTTAAAAAAATAATTTCACACACAAAAAAAGAGCTAGAAAATTCACCACACTGGGAAGGGTGAAGACAACTGGGTCGCCCGGCCCTGGCCACGAGGTGTCCCTTAATTTATTTTTTAGGGAGTTGGCAACCCTATTTCCGCCCCCCACCAGCACGTGCCTGATGTGGAACACAGGTTATGTACGACCGCGGCCATCCCCTCGTGATTATAACTTGCGCACCTACAAGGTTTTTTACGGTTCAATATGCGTTCGCAGTTCGTCATGTTACCTTTAGGTGAACCTCTTAAATTCTGTAATCCAAACTGCAAGATCGCTTGCAAGGCTTTTCTGGGGGATTTATTTCCCTTTGCTGGGATAAACATATCTATAACCATTTTGGAGTTCCTGTTGATAAAGTTTATTATAATTTAATGCTAAAATCAATAAGGTAGCTTCTAAATATTTCATTTTTACCACCAAATTTCATTTTTTTATTTAACACATCAACAGGACTGTTTGTAATATCCTTCATTTTTTACAAAAAATAAAATGAAAATACAAAGTACACACTAATATACAGACATAGTTACACACTTCAAAGGATCTAACAACCAAGCGGTTATCAGCCGCCATTAATTATTAACCTTATATTCTTGTTCAGTTTGTCACAGCAGGCAAGCTGACGGTGATCATTTACGGATTTTTACAACTGCAACATTTTGAAATGATTACATCCTAGAAATCACTGTAGCATGAGCGCATTCAAAGAAAAAATTTAAAACTTGTTTTCTGCAAACACCACCACACTGTTATTAAAAATGTTTTTGGATACACGTGTGGTTGTTTTCAAGTTATATGGCTGCAGTATTCCTGAATTTACGAGGTGCCCTTAAAGGCACCATGATGAATTGCGCTGGTATATTGAATCGTATAGGTGCGCAAATTATTTTGGTGTGACTGCGTGACCGGTCAATAAGAGAGAGTCATAAAGATATTTAATATTTCTATTTCTTTATGTTATACTCTTATCTTAAATCCTGTTCACTACAAACTATTTATCATTACAAGCAAATATATTAGGCATAACTCACACACACACACACACACACACACACACACACACACACACACACACACACACACAAACGCAATGTTTTGGCACCAGGAGCAGCAGTGGAAAATTTTTGCTGCTGAGCCGGAGAGAAAAGCTGTATGGACGTTGTTGGGCTCACGTGCACGCATTTTAAACATCCAGCTGTGACTCATTTTGCTTCCAGGAGTTTTACTTTCGTTGGAAGAGAGAGAGAATTAATAAAAGCTTTCCCAGACCTTAAACATCAACAGCCGTATAGGCTGTTTTTTTTTTTTGAGTGTGTAAAAACAGTGCAGAAAAAAATCCACTAAGTCTGTGGTCATTGTTACACAATATGCAGCTTTGAGGAAAACAGACCAGTAATGAGAAAAGGAAATGATAAGTATTCTTGTCATTTTTATATTCTTTTGCTCTCCTTTTTCAAAATAACTGTTTTACTAATTGGCTACTTTTTCATGTACAGTAGCCTAAACACTTTTATTAATACACCATACTTGGGAATAACACGAGTTGACACAAAGTGCTTTTGTGGTTGCTGGCAGTTCATCAGACTATGTCTCGCTGTAGCAAATGAACTGTTAATAGTAAGAAAATATGGGAAAGAGAGGGGAAACCTGGAACTAAATACCAGAGCTGTCCTGTGAAATGGAATGTGTGGGAGGACTCAACAGAGAAACTGACAAACACACACACTGAAACTAAGTCATGTGAACCTGACGCTGGGACTGGGGATAAAGGGATAACTAACATAACAAAACAAAAAAAATCAAGAACTATAAATAACAAACTAAGAAACTAGAACATTAATTATTTTAACCTTTCAAAGAAATAAATACCAAGTCCAGAACAAAACTCAAAATGCTGAGTCAAAGACTCAGAACCATGACAGCTCTCCCTTAACTCCAGCTCGCCCTCAAAGCGGTGAGGGGGTGGGAGATACGAAGCTCAGCACAGAGGAAAGATTACAAACAGATTGAATCTGCTTATCTGATATTTAATCATATATATATATTTTCTGTCACCAAACAACATCTGAAGGTTCCTTTTTTATTTATTTTTTTTATTCCACAGATATGATATTACTGATATATGATATATTACCCTTCTATCCCCAGTGTATAAGTAGCCTGTGTCCATTCCCTCTGTCTTTATCAGGTCATGTCCCATTAGATTAACTCATTCACTGCCAGCCATTGGCAGTGAATGAGTTAAACCCATTGACTCATTCACTGCAATTGACGGCTATAGATGTCAATGGCAGTGAATGAGTTAATTGATTGATTTAGTATAGGTGGTTTAGACTAACACCAGCTCTATAACTGAAAGTTGTGAGGAGGGTTTGAGGCTGAAGGCGTCTTCTCTGGCGTGTCGTCCAGCAGCTCGTAGGCAGGTGGCTGGTCCATCCACTGGCAGTTCAACCTGATGCTCGTGTTATACATCTGATAGATCAGCAGTGATGACAGCACCATGCCGAAGAGCTACACACAAACAACAGTTAATAAAGACTGACACGATGATGTTTGTCACTCATGCACTCTGTGGTGAAGATGAGTTTACCCAAGCTAAAGGATCATAGCAGGAAAAAGTTTACTATTCCAGTGCTGAAAAGTTGGTGTATTTCCAAAGTTCTGAATCAGCTCTTTCTTTAAAAAAAACATTCTCTGTAAATATTTCCAAGTATTTGTTAAGAGCACACATCATTCAGCATTACCTGGGCTGTCAGAGATGTGGACATAAATCATTTCAAAATGCTTTTTTACGTTTTTGGAGGAGATTTAAATACAAGGCAAGAAAACATTAAAAAAGCAGAGCTATGGTGACATAACACATTTTACTTTAATGATTAACTCACTGTTAGAACAAAGAGACCAAAGATCACGCCCAGGGTGATATTGGCATTTCTTACAACCCTGCTGCTGATGATGGGAAAGCAGGGCTGAAGACAGAGAGACAAACACATATAAACTCTGACTGCAGTGACAGGAAAAGGAATTTTTTTCAGGGGATCAGGAAACAGATAACACTTACCTCCATTATTTCATAATCACATATCTGTTAAAACTTCTTTAAAATTGTCAGAGAGAGCATTGGCCTTGATGTGAACGTTGAAGGTATACACTTTTTATATGTTCACACCTGTGTATCAAGTGATAACTTTAATTTTAGCATTTAGCAGCTCTCACCTGTGTGAAGACAGACTTCTTCTGCCAGAAAAGGTTCAACAGGAAGTTCTAAAAACACAGGAAACAAACTCAGGAGTCATTTTGTTTGTGTTTCAGTTGGACCCATTTCAGAAAGTGTCAACACCTCACATGAAACTGAGTTAATACAATAACTCTGCAAGTTATTAGTGTCTCAGCTTCTTTTACTCACTGTGTAGCTGACTGTCTGACATTCCTCTACATCCTGTTTGCACAGGCAGGAATCAGGGATGCTGTTCTCCCAGTCTTTGTAGCCAAACAGACCACAGCAGTGCAACTAAACACGGACGGGAAGAAGAGCTACAAGCTGCAGTGTTATTTACACCACACAGTGCAGAACAAACCACACAGAACTCGGTGCTGGTGACTGCTGCCACATCAAAAATAATACTGAATAATACAGAGCATATCTTGTGGAAGTCAGAAATCTTAAAGCTCTGGCTTTCCTTTTGCTCCTGGACTCAAAGTATTGTGCTATACTGCCTGACAGTGTGATAGGTGCTTACTGATGTCTGTAGTCTTTCAACCTGATCCCTGATGTCACCTGAAGCCCGATCCAGTGGCAAAAGCAAACGAAACCTTTCCTCCATCACATGCCCCAACTGAAAAATCACACAGGAGTGTGTTTATTAGTTCATAATAATCTATAAAACATCAAACAACCTGCGTTTGATGACATTTTACTCAAGTTAAAATTGTGCATGTCTGCTCAAAACTAGTGGAAACAAAAGCAGTCAATACTAGGGTAGACAAAGAAAAGAAATCAATGCTAAAATTACTATTGGTCTGGATACTCATTTGGATCAGTATCAGTGCCGCAGACAGACAGTTCATCCTGACCTCACCACCAGCTGAAGCTGACTTTCATAACAGCGAATAACTCTTTATGATGAATTTTAAGAGGTCAGTAAAGCTCCCATCTCAACAGCACTCAACAGTTATCAGTAACCAATGTTCCCTCTAAGCTGCTCGCATGCGCAATTGCGCACTGCTGGCACGGTCTCTGTGCACAGAAAATCTGCGTTGCGCACAAAAAAAAACCTATCCTGAACTGAAATTAAAATAAATACGTTAACAATTCTTTCTGTTCTGCAGTGTTAGTCAGTAAGTGACTGGCTGCTCCAGTATGGGATTAGAATGATGCCACCTTATCCCAATGCATTCACATACAGTGGGGCAAAAAAGTATTTAGTCAGCCACCGATTGTGCAAGTTCCCCCACTTAAAATGATGACAGAGGTCAGTAATTTGCACCAGAGGTACAATTTACAGGTGTTACAGGAGTGATACATCTCCTGTTGTCAGGCCTGCAGGTATCAGGCTGCAGAGCATCCTGACCAACTGTATAACAGTCTGGTATGGGAACTGCTCTGCCTCGGACCGGAAGGCGTTGCAGAGGGTCGTGAAAACTGCCCAGCGCATCGCCGGAGCACCACTTCCTGCCATAAAAGACATCTACAGGAAGCGGTGTCTGAAAAGGGCTGGGAAAATCATCAAAGACCCCAGTCACCCATCACATGGACTCTTCACCCTCCTGCCCTCTGGGAGGCGCTACAGGAGCCTCCGGACTAAGACCACCAGGTACCGGAACAGCTTCTTCCCCACAGCTGTCAGACTCCTGAACTCTGCCTCCTGACATCTGACCCACGTTAAACTCATGGACTGAACATACACACACCCACAATGGACAACTGTACCCTCAAACACACAATAATAACATGGACTGAACCACCACTCACAACCACTAGCACTTTATATAGCCTCTGTAGAAATTATCCACATATCTCACTTATCTTAACTGCACTACTGTATAGCTCTGTGTAAATAATCATTCTGTACATACGATAATCTTTAATCCTACAACTGTTTACAACTTGCATAGTTCCCATTTCTGTATAGCTGTATATCTCAGATTCTGTAAAGTTATTTATTTCATATTCTGTATAGTTTTTCATATTTATATCCTGTTCATAGCCTGTACATAGCTTGTACTCACTACAGCCTGTACATACTTATAGTTATAGAATATTCACAACATACTTCATACCGTGTACATTATAACATACCATAATAGACCCATTTCTGTAATATACTCACATATCTATATTATTGCTAATATATATTGTAATATATCTATATCACTAAAGCACTTCTGGATGGATGCAAACTGCATTTCGTTGCCCTGTACCTGTGCATGTGCAATGACAATAAAGTTGAATTCTATTCTATTCTATTCTATTCTATTCTATTCTATTCTATTCTATTCTCCTTTATCTTATAGTGGAGAGAAATTATGTTTTGGAGTGGCACAAATAATTTGTGTGGCATCAAATTTGATACAGAACACCTGATTGTTCTGTAAATAGTTTGACATTAAATAAATAGCTGCAAAACACTTTGTTTTTTGCAAAACTCACTGTTTTGAAGAAGTAATTATATAATTAATTGCCCAACATTGGTCTTTAAATAATGTATTTTGCAGACAGAGAGTTACAGCACTCTCTCCCAGACCACAGACTCATAATAACAAGTCAGAGCTTTATTTAAAAAAAAAAAAAAAAAAGTTGTGTTTTCAAAATTGGAGTTCAAGTTATTTTTACTTCCAATAGTGTTAACATACTACACAGGTCATGAACAAGATTTATTTTACATTTTTATTGTAAGTGGGCTAAAGCAGTTAATTAAAAGTAGTCTAACATAAATGTAAATGCTGTAATTTGATTATTTTAATAAACCATGTAACTTGGATGGATTTGATGCTGGCGTGACCACAGTGAACATGTCTGCTGTTGCTCACAGTGATCCAAGGGACCGCTCAGGGAGTTTGTGTGTTCGCTCAGACACATGGAAAATTAGAGGGAACATTGTCAGTAACATTTGCCGTTTAGCCATTAGCAGTTACCCAACAGCCACATTAGCCATCTGCTACATTGGATTAAGCTACCGGCTAATAATAAAACGTTCAGTGTTGGAGCTAGAGAGCAAATGTCATCAGCTGTGCCTGTCTGAAACATTAATACTATTAATTTACAGGATAAACAATTATTTGCGTTTAATTTTTCTTGAGAAAAAAGGGAAACATCTGCTATACCTCTAAAAAATAAACTTTATAGGTCCTGTAACTTTTTCTTCCACTTTGTACTCAAACTCAGGTTCCCCCACACACTTTCCTAATTAACTTTGAGATAACCCAACAGAACCCAAGTGGTGTGTTGTTAGCACTCTTCATACTTTTTGGTAAATTACTGTTGTGGTTAAAATGCATTTCTTCTTTCAGGATGTCAACTCTGATAAGGTCCATGTAGCACAATGAAAAACCTCCATGTTTCTGATGTTCCTGCATGAACCTGGGATCTGTTTGTGTTTTGTTGGGAATGCTGAGTTTGAGGGAGAAGCTTCGTTGCTGAATGTTGAATACAGAACCAACACAGTAAAAAGAAACCGGGTCCTTACGTTTGGTCGGGCTGCAGCAGTGATAGCTCCAGCTCTGAGCATCAGCAGACTTCCAATGAACGTGCACAGCAGGAACTGCAGAGAAGGAACCAAAGAGATGCTGCCTCAGCTTCTATATGTAAATACCTTTGTTGCATTTTGTTTTATTTTGGTTGTAGTTTTCTATTTTGTATCTAACCACATCAACATGGGACTTTTAAGGAGCAGGAGAGACGTGGGATAAAGATAACTCTGTTCATCTGATTTTCAGAAATAAGAATGATGCGGGGTGCATTATCTCAAATTCTTTTCTAAAGTACAGCTTTCATGAACTATAATAATATGTCATGCTGTTTTATTTTGGATAAAGAGAAAGAAACTTAGCAGTAAATAAGTAACTTATATCAATAAGTAATAAATACATGAATCAATAAATATGATCCAATGTGATTATGTGTTCTGCACAATGAACACTTTCACTGTCTTCACATGAAATAAATTTTAAGGTAAAACTTTTGTACTTTTTAATTAAGTAAAAAGTAGAATTTGTCTCACTACTTTACAAAATCTCCATGCTGCTCTTATTTCTGATTAAATAGTCTCATTAAAAAGCAGTATGCTGAAGCATTTTTTAAAAATATGAATCTGGATTCAAGTGACAGAAATTCTTCAGTTTTCAGTGTTTTATTATCAAAATCAATCAAAATTTCCATTAAACAAAAAAAAAAAGGTGGACTCTGGTAGTTTTAGTTTGGTTAACAATGGGAGAATTTACAAAAAGAAAAGAAAAATGCAAATGGAAACAGTCGAGAAAATGATAATTGGTGTATATCTGTTATTGATTATTTATGATTATATTATTTCCAATACGTATTTCTCTTCTTAGCTGACATTAATAACTTGCCTCAGGCTATGCTGGCTGGTGACAGAAGGACCAAATTATCACCACCTTCCTGTCTGTGGCTTGGAAGCAAAGAAAAGACCTTTGGGATGACCCAAGATCAGGGAACGACCCAGCTTTGGTTCCACTATAGCGCCAAAATGTAACCTACTTACTCCCCAGATGTTTTATATTACTTTACTTTGGGGTTCATGGCAAACATTAAGTGAATAAAAAGTTCAAATCTTTAAAACTGTATAGGTGACATTGGGTGCTTTTGACAAGGTTGTAAAAAAGTGGAATGAGGTAGATATTACAACAAATATACACCTCGGGTCTGCATGAACCCTAGTGATTAGGATGGGGGTTAAGGCCTTCCCTTTAAGTCAGCTTTATTATAAGTGTTATTAGGGATATCCCCTCTATGACATCATACAGCTCCAAGAGCTGGAAAAACAGACTCCATGTAAGCTAAAAGTTAACAGGGATGTTCAAGTAATGTGCATGTGACAGAAAATAACAGATGGCAGAAGTGAGAAGAAAACTCTTTCATGCTTCAGTTTACCTGAAAAATTACTAATATTTGTCAGTCAGCAGCCATTGAGTTTTTGCTCACCACAGTTAGGCTCATCAGGTTTGCCGTGTGGGCTCCGTGAGCCCCCAAGATGCTGATCACCACGGTAACGGAGGCAAAGATGTAAAGGTGGGTTGTCTGAACTTCAAACTGAATGAAGAATAGTTTTATGCTTGATTAGTGCTTCATAACAAACAGCGATGTTGTTGTGTGGTGTGGGGTGTGTTGTTGGTGGTGGGTGGTGTGTGTGGTGTGTGTGTGTGTGGTTGGGTTTGTGCTGCCTTACATTGTCATGATAACATTTAAACAGCAGAGCCGGAGTTGTAATGAGTCCCACTATGAGCTGAAACACAGCAGAGCAGCATATCATCCAAGGAAGTTTCAACAAAAGGGGAATCCTGTGTTTTCTGGGCTGTGTACAAGTGTAAACCAACACCATTTAATTTTCTACGTTTATGTCTGAGATGGAACCTTATTATGGAGTCGTGGTCCTCGAGTCTCTCGTGCTGGCTCGCCTTTCCTGTGTGTTTTTCTATAGTTGTTTTATCCCTTTGTCTGTATACCATGTTTACATATCTTTGTGGGGACCAAAAATTGGAACGTGACTATACTTGTGGGGACTGACAGTCCCTTATGGGGACAAAATGTCCGTCGCGACGAGTTTGAAGGTATTTTTAAGACTCAAAATGTGGTTTAAGTGTCAGGGTTACATTTAGGTTATGGGTAGGGTTAGGCATTCATTTTTGATGGTTAGGGTAAGCGGCTAGGGAAAGCATTATGTCAATTAGATGTCCCCACTAAGAAATGAAAACAACTCTGTGTGTGCTCCCACATGTCTCCACCTTCCTGCTGGAACGCTGAGCAGCTGTGGGGGTTAGGGCTAAGACTACTCACCTGCTGAGTGAGCAGTTATCAGGCTTCCTGCTTAAGGCGCGTTGTGTTGGCCCAGGTCCGCTCACGGCCTCCATCTTGTTGTGGAGTCTGTTTTTATGCTTTGGATAACTGGTCTGTCTGTGGCCATGAATACTGACCCCTGTGAGATCTGCTCTTTGTGCCCTTGAAACCGGCAATACCTGTTGCCGCTGTTGGAACTCAAATGCCTCACCACCAACTTTGATTACTGCCTTTTCTTTCCTGGGTGATCATTCTGTTAGTTTCTAACACATGGTTTAAAAATCTAACTAGCCAACAAACAAACTAAACCAAAGCTATTTGTCTTCCCTGCATGTCCTGATCTTCTTAAAGTTTTTGTACCTTTTTTCTGATTGCTTTGTGTTTTTCTGGACTCTTCAGCTATCGTGTGCTTTGCTGCAAACTCTAGCCATCATTGTTTTTAAGATTTTGATGGAGCTTACCTCTCAGCCCCTTTGCATTTTCATTTGCAGAGGAAACGATAAAATCATTCAAATGTTTTGATCAGTAGAACACCAGGCTGTCTGAAGTAGAACAGAATATCTGAAACTCCCCTTTAAAACAAACAGCAGCTTAATGTGACTGTAGAACGTGAAATTATATCCCTGTGCCTCTGAACAGATCATGTTCTAGCTTCAGACTGTCATAAAATTTACATGTTCAGATTGTTTGTATTGATTTATTTACTAGCTCTGTAGAGATGTGAATGTCAATAACTCAAAAATCCCGACTCATTGTGTGTCTTTACTGTTCTCTCTCTCATACCTTTCATCTTCTTAGAAAGAAAACAGAACCATTTTCCCCTTTTAAAATCCAGTTACTCACCAAAAAGAAGACGTTGAAGCCGAAGAAGAAATGTCTGAGAGAAGGGCTGACCTGACTCATGCTGCTGTATGATGAAGCATAAATGCATCGACACGTACTGTGATTCTGCATCCAGCGGTGGTTGGAAAAAGTGATACTGCAAATGAATCTTGGAAAGCAAGAGAGAAGGGCAGGGCTTCCTGTAGAAGCTTCCTGTAGATTAGAAAGCTAATGAATTATTTGTCATGATGTGCTGTGCAGGCAGACAGGATTGGACCCAAACGCAGGACTAATAGAGGCAAAATGTGAACTCAAAAGTAGCTTTATTGCTCACCATGGAAAACCAAACAGAAACCCAATCTGGGAAGCTAGAACGTACATCAGCACGGTCAAACACAAACAAGAACAAAATTCATTGTGTTTTCTTAACATTCGTTTTTTTGAACAGGGTTTTTGTGATTGTGGTTTCTGAAATACTGAGTTTTCTTAAAATTTGGTGCATGAGCATAAATTTGATTTTCCAAAATGTTTTTTTAAATGTACTTTACTTTTTTTTTATTGTTTTATGTCCAGAAATGTGGTTTTCTAATAATACATGTAAAATTAGAATTCCTGCTTCGTCTGCTGTCAGTTATTTTTTTGTAAATGATGACCACAGAAAGTAAAAAAAATCTAGTTTTATCTTGCCTGTGCTGATGATGGAGTGGACAAAAGGATCTGCACAAATATATAGAAAACCAACATGAGGACTTTGGAATCATTTGTCTTTCACTCTGGCTGCTTTAGTTCTCTGTAGAGAAGTTTACAGCATCCAGATGGCTGTTATGGCTGTCTGACTGATCCATGACTTCACCTGAGTTTTTCAGCCTTGACCCTTTTCTACACCTTGATTATTGCATGTCAGTTTGTCCAGGAGAGAGCACCCCAGCAAACAGGTTTCCTATTTTCTTCCTGGGTTACTGAAAATAATGGACCATCTGCACAAAAGAGCATCAAGTCAGTTCAAAGCAAAAAAGCAGCACATGAGTGCTAAACTCCTCCACCACAGGAGGTACAATGATCTGGCAGCAACTAAGGCCAACCTTCAGCCTAAATAGTCCATCCATCCATCCATCCATCTTCATCCGCTTTATCCGAGGCCGGGTCGCGGGGGCAGCAGCCTAAGCAAAGAGGCCCAGACCACCTTCTCCCCAGCCACCTCCTCCAGCTTATCCGGGGGAATACCAAGGCGTTCCCAGGCCAGCCGAGAGATATAATCTCTCCAGCGTGTCCTGGGTCTGCCCCGGGGCCTCCTCCCGGTGGGACATGCCTGGAACACCTCACCCAGGAGGCGCCCAGGGGGCATCCTTGTCAGATGCCCGAACCACCTCAGCTGGCTCCTTTCGATGTGGAGCAGCAGCTGCTCTACTCTGAGCCCCTCCCGGATGGCCGAACTTCTCACCCTATCTCTAAGGGAGAGGCCAGCCACCCTTCGGAGGAAGCTCATTTCTGCCGCTTGTATCCGCGATCTCGTTCTTTCGGTCACTACCCACAGCTCGTGGCCATAGGTGAGGGTAGGGACGTAGATCGACCGGTAAATTGAGAGCTTCGCTTTTACACTCAGCTCCCTCTTCACCACGATGGACCGGTGCAGCGTCCGCATTACTGCAGCTGCAGCCCCAATCCGTCTGTCGATCTCCGGCTCCCTTCTCCCATCACTCGCGAACAAGACCCCGAGATACTTGAACTCCTCCACTTGGGGCAGGAACTCATCCCCGACCCGGAGTGGGCACTCCACCCTTTTCCGGCTGAGAACCATGGCCTCAGATTTGGAGGTGCTGATCCTCATTCCCGCTGCTTCACACTCGGCTGCGAACCGTTCCAGTGCGAGCTGGAGGCCCTCACCCGATGAAGCCAACAGAACCACATCATCCGCAAAAATCAGAGATGAGATTCTGAGGCCACCAAAGCGAAAGCCCTCCGCCACTTGGCTGCGCCTAGAAATCCTGTCCATAAAAATTATGAACAGAACCGGAGACAAAGGGCAGCCCTGGCGGAGCCCATCACCCACCGGGAACGAGTCCGACTTATTGCCGGCAATGCGAACCAAGCTCTTGCAACGGTTGTATAGGGATCGAATGGCCCGTAGCAATGGGCCAGACACCCCATATTCCCGCAACACCTCCCACAGGACACCCCGAGGGACACGGTCGAATGCCTTCTCCAAGTCCACAAAACACATGTAGACTGGTTGGGCAAACTCCCATGCACCCTCAAGTATAAAGAGCTGGTCCAGTGTTCCGCGACCAGGACGAAAACCGCATTGTTCCTCCTGTATCCGAGGTTCGACTAGCGGACGAACTCTCCTTTCCAGCACCCTGGCATAGACTTTCCCAGGGAGGCTGAGGAGTGTGATCCCCCTGTAGTTGGAACACACCCTCCGGTCCCCCTTCTTAAAGATGGGGACCACCACCCCGGTCTGCCAGTCCACAGGTACTGCCCCTGATCTCCATGCAACATTGCAGAGGCGTGTCAACCAATTTTCTCAGTCGACGTCAGCAGCGCTCCGCCAGCACTATACACAGTGCAGGTAGAGCACCGCTTTCCCCTCCTGAGACGCCTGACGGTTTGCCAGAATCTCTTCGAGGCAGTCCGAAAGTCTTTTTCCATGGCCTCTCCGAACTCCTCCCACACCCGAGTTTTTGCTTCAGCCACTGCCTAAATAGTAGCTAAGGTAATTATCACATTGCATACAGGTGAATGATTCTCCATCTGCTTCCAGGTATAAAGGAAAGAAATGTAGATGAGCCACGAGAAGGCTGCTAGAGACATGTCGACCCCACAGACAGAGGAGAGAAAGAGAGTAACAAATGTTAAACTTGGAAAAAACGAACTCAACTGAAATCTCTTTACTTTAATCTGAATTTGATCAAATTTTCCAACACAGCCAGACTTTGACGAGGAGGCTTTGATGCAGGGTTTCCACTCACCTGACAAACACTCTGTCCCACACCAAGGCAGCTCAACTCACTAGGCAATATTTACTTTTAAGGGAATAGTATTATATTTGAAATTCATTTTGTTTTCTGTGTTCTTTTTAAATGTACTATAAGAAGTTTGTAGTGCAGTAAAAACATCATGGTCCTGGGTTTTGGGTTTTGGACTGAGGATGCCTTCTGATTTCCTATTTATTATTTGATGTTCTATTTTGTTCTTGCTTTGTTTCTTAGTTCATTGTTTCATATATCCCTATTTCAGTTAATATCCTGCTTAGGATTATTTGGCTTATTATGTTTGTTATTTAAACAAAGAGAGGCAGGCACTCCTATCTCTTTAAGAAGCTGATCCATTGCTTGCAGACAGGAAAGCTGCCATGTGATATCTGGGGGGGGGGGGGTGTGGGGGGTGTTACTGTGCGTTTATGTGGTGTGTCGACTGACCACTGTGTAACTGGCGCCATAACTCTGTGTGTAATCTGAGCAATCCAGCTGACTATCTAAGAAGAGGGACTGGTACTAAAAAAGTCCTCCAGTCTTCAGCAGTGAGGTGGACCCTCACACACAAAGTAAGTTCCTGTTTCTGCTGTAAAGTGAGATGAAACTGAGTCATGCACTAGGATGAAAAATACCATCTGTTAGATATGCTTCACTGAACCGTTTCATTTGCAGTAACACATCTTTTTTTTTTTTTTTTTTTTTTTTTTTTTTTTTAAATGACATCAGAAACAGCAGTATGCGACATTACGTGATGACAGAGCTTCAGTTCATCCTTTGTCATTTTTTTTTTTTTTTTTTTTAAGAAATAGGACAGGGGGAATGAATGAGAGAAAGAGGGGGAGAGAAAGAAAGAAAACCAAAGGGGAGAAGAGACGGTGAGAAGGGGGGAAAAAAAAAAAAAAAAAAAAACAACAACTCCTGGGTCACCTGTATGGAGAAAAAAAAAAAAAAAAACAAACAAACAACAAAAAAAACAAACAGAGGAGACAGCAAACAACAAAGAGCAACATAATAATAGAGAAAACAAAGCACCATCACAATAAACTAGCTAGTCATAGATATCAATAGTTACTGAATAATAAACGATATTGTGCAGCACGCAAGATAGACAGCGCACAGTGTGCTTTGAGGCAGCAGCCAAGAAAGCTTTAGTCCGCGTCTGTGAATACCCATGTCTACACCTGTGTGCATACCTGTGTGGATCAGCATGCTTGCATTCCAAAGGTTTCTCCATGTAATGATCTGCTAGGGAGTGTGGGGGGGCCACAGCCCCGTCCTCCAGGGTGTGAAGCGGGTATGGAGGAGATCAAAACTCCAGACATCCAGAGGCCCCCAGAACACAAGAGACCACGGAAGACCAACAGAGGGGCAGCCGCGCCACTGTTCCAGTAAGAGCTGAGGAGAGTCCCAGATGAGGGCTCGCCCAGCAGCCGCAGAGCAGAAGCCAGGGGGAGTTGCAGTGACGCGCCCGTGAGCTCCGCCGGCCCCCAGCTGTGCCTGAGTGACCGAGCCCCAGGCCGAGAGGCCGGGGGCACCCCACCTCCAAAGGGGGCCCGAGCGAGCCCCAGGCCCCAGGCCCCGACAAGCGGCCGCCAAGGAGTGAGCCGGTGTGTACCCGGACGCCCACCCCCAGACACAAAGAACCACCAGCACACCGACACCTGAGGGAGTCCGCCACCGGCAGGGGAAGTGGTGGTGGGTAGAGATAGGCCTCCAAACCTTGGAGGGCCTGAGGTGTCCCCAGAGAGGTGGCGTCTGATACCCAACCTGACATATAGACACAGACATACAGGCACACACAGACACAAACATCCATTCCCACCCTCATGCTCTCATATGCACTCACTCCACACTCAACCAACGTGGAGATAGACATAAAGAGACGCTGTACACACAATCACACTCCCCAAGCGTACTCTACAAACCGGGTCTAGGTACCCTTGCCCCTGGAGGGGGGAATTGCACCCAGACCCAGGTGGTGTTACCCTTTTCCCTGCGGTGGGGAGAGGCAGACCACCCCGACTCCGCAGCAGCAGGGAGGCCCCACACCCCAGACCGCAGCCGGACGGCCAACTCCTCCTACTAGCCCTCCCGCTCCAGCAGGCCGCAGAGAATGGGGGTGGGAGAAGACTCCAAACCTCCCTCCACCCGCTCATTGTAGTGTTGATGCATATGTGATCTAAGGTGCAATTA